AACATCACCTGCCAGATGTTTTATCACTGGAGTATGACAGCAACTATCATTATTCCCTCTACAAAGTCAACTGCCGCTCACTCAAGGGAAGAAAGTGGTTATTTTCAGACCAGGAACATTTCATTTCTGCTTTGCTGGCCTAAACACAACCCATCGCCCCACGAAAAGGCTTGTCGACACCAGCTCTCTTCCGCTAACATGGACCGTATGTCACGTGCTTGTAGCGCCGGGCAAAACCAGGATCATTGAGGCGTCACATATAAGTGACACTTGTGGTGAACATTTTGGTAGGACAGCTTAATAGGCCAACTTTTGAGCCGTACATATTTTACTCCAAAAACCCTATCTTTTCTGCTGATGTTCCATTAATTGAATGCTGCTGGATAAAAAAATTAACGGCCACTTCTGAAGTGATTGCTTTAACACCTTTTGGCAATGAGAGTTTTAGTTACTGCGAGGTGGCGAGACGCCACCGGAAGGTATTTTATGCATTATCTTTTATTTATTTACCATCTTTTTAAATGATTTTTTCCAGACACCTCCTATCCCATAAAACTTAGATGTTATTCCTCACTCTGGCGCCTTTGACCTGATGTATAACTTGTGGAGGTCGAAGAGGCCGCGTAGTTAAGGCTAATGTGACAAGGATGTTTTTAAATCCACCATGCAGTTCCACAAAAAAAGGGAGGATAAAAAGGCATTTAAAGCCTTTAAAGAGTATTTTTATTGTTAAATCAAGTTCCTTTTGGCTACTGTCTTACTCATGAAAAGTAGGTAATTAATAAATAATAGACAGCTCATTCTACGAGACATCGTGCGCACATTTTTTCAGGAGGGGGATTTTAATGGTGTCTGCTTGCCATAATCCGTCTTGACTGCTTTTGCGGGGGGCTTTCCAAATTGAGGCAGGAGAGTTTCAACAAAATCCCTCACTAAACAAGCGCTCATGAAAAAAAGAGACCGATATTTACTTCCATGAGGTTGTGGTTAAATTGGCTGGGCACGACTGCAGTTTGGCAGATTTGCGAGACGAATTGACTTGAAGGCGTCTTGTATAACCCCTTGAAAAGGAATTTGGCGGAAATTGCGGGACAGGGGGGCAGAGGGGTGGGGACTTGTAATGTCTGGAATTGCTCAGATAAAGACCTTAATCCTGGCGGTGAATCACAAGATGGTAGGCGCTTCACTTTTTGGAAAACACGTTCCTTTTTCATAAGGAAGAAATAACTCAAGGCTGACGCATCAAAACGTGGCTTTATTTGCCCCAACGTTAGGTTTTAGGTTGGGTAATCTTTTCCACAAAGAAAGACCAATTACGCCTATTCACCTGGCGTTGGTTGTGGGCACCAATAAGGCACAACAGAGTCTTTGTAAAAGTCTCACCGTCTTTAGACTCTGGTGTTTAGTCCCTAGATGTCAAAAGAATTTGATGTGGTTCAAAAGTGCATTCAAGAGTGCACAAGGTAATATCACAATTTGTCTGTCATTTGTAGGAGATATGACACAGATGAAGGTACCAACCAGATAGGGACTTCGTTCCGGCGATGAGGCTTTCACGTCAAGCCCAAGTCATGCTCAAGTTATGAAAAGTTTTTCTGATATATGCATTGATTGAAATGGGAATGGCGCAGATGCCTTGTCTGGCCCCCCTCGGAGGAGAGAGAAGGTCTTCCTTGTGCCATGGGTGTCAGAGAGACAGACAACAGACAGGCGGACAGACAGACAATAAGATCTA